GGGTTCCAGTTTATCCACAGCCTGGCCAGTACCCTTTTTTTTTTTTTTTTTTTTTTCTTTAATGGCTGTTCTAATAGGGGAGCTTTGGTTTGCAGCTACCCCCTGGCAGTGATGAGTGTCTTTTCCTATGCTGGTTGGCCATTTGAATATCCTCTCTGGTGAAATGTCTATTCAAGCCCATGTTTTTTTGTTTTTAAGTTTTTGTTGTGATTTGGGTGAACGTTTACAGAGCAAATTCATCTTCCATGCAGCAGTTCACATATACTTTGTCTCATGACATTGACTGTAGTCTCCCACATTGTAACAGCTCCCCTCCCACTTCCTCTCCATAGTTACCTCTTCCCTGTGTCCTTCCTTCCCATGCACTCCTGTCCCCTGAGCTGTCTCCCTGTGTATATACAGCCCTTCTGTTCTCCCATGATTGTTCTCTCTAGGGAGTGTATCTACCTAGTGTAAATGTTCAGCTCATATGCTTGTCTTTTGTTTGGCTGGAAGCCACGAGAATGGGTTCAATTCCAGACCTGAAGGGCAGCTAGGGGTCATAGTCTCAGGGATTCCACCAGGCTCTATGAGACTAGCAAACCTGGTCCCCCCGCCTTTTTTTTTTCCCAAATGATTTTGAGTTTTGTTCCACATTGTTCTCCCTCTTTATCCAGGATCTCCTACAGAGATCCCCCTTCGAGAGGTTAAAAGTGGTAGCTGGGCACCATCTAGTTTTTCTGGTCTCATAGTTGTATAGACTGGGGATCACATTGTGTACCAATCCCTTGGACTAATTGTTTCCACGCGTCTTTGGTTATCTTCATCTTTTGCTCTGAACGAGGAGAGACCTATTGTGGCATTTAGATGGCCAAGCCCATGTTTTGATTGTTGTTTGTCTTTTTGTTGTTTCCCAAGTCATTTATGAATAGGAACAGCTAGAGTTTTTATGTATCTGCAAAGGCAGAGTTGATGCTCAGGAATGCAGCTATTTTATCATCCTGTTTTGGAACCATTATTTTGGTTGCTAAGGGGTGGCTCTTGGGGGAGCCAGGGACATAATTCAGTGCTGGGTGGTGGGCTCTGCTATGAGCTAGGGAGCTGAGGTGCAGGGATGTAGATTGGAGTTAGCTGTCTGCTTCTGAGGATCTCAGTCTGTGGAATAGACACACACACATACGTCCACACATTACACATGTACACATACACCCAGACACACATGCATGCACAGTCACACAGACATATGCGCACCACACACAGATAGACATCTGCACACACAAACTGCACATGCACACAGAGACACATGCACGCACATATATACTCATACAGACGTCCACACACACAGAGAGACCACACATGCACACATACACTCAGACACATGTGCACGCACATTCACACATACATGCATACACCACACACACACATTCACAGTCACAGACATATGCACACCACACACACTCAGGCATCCACACAGACCATACATACGCATAAAGACACACATACATGCACATGCATACTCACATACACAGATATACACACAGAGACCACATGTACAGACACACATACATGCACATACACAACCACACACACACATGTACAGTCACACAGGCATGCACACCACATACACTCAGACATCCACACACCACATCCACACACATAGGCCACACATGCCCACATACACTCACACACATACATGCACATTCATATTCACAGACATCCACACACACAGACCACACATGCACTCAGACACACATACATGGACATTCATACATACATACACCCCCCCACACACACATTCACAAGCACACACATACGCACACCACACACACTCAGGTGTCCACACACATACAGACTACATGTGTACACATATACTCAAAAACATACGTGCACATTCATACTCACAGAGAGACATACCGCATGCATGCACATACATACACATGTTCACACAAGGCTCACATGTACTCATATGTACATATATATGTGTATGTACACATATATACACTCATGTATATATGTTCATATATATATTTCCATATCTATCTATTTACTTTGGAAGGAAGATTGGGCAATCTGCTTCTGTAGAGATACCACCTTGGAAACCCAGGGAGGGGTCACTGTGAGTTGGATCCGACTTGATGGCAGTGAGTTTGGTTTTGGTTTATGTATATATATATACATGTCCATGTATGCATGTATATATACACAGAGACGTGTACACACAGACTTCCATGCTGTGTGCTCTCTGCACCTGACAAATGAAGCTGCATAATGTATTCTCTCTCTTTCTCTCCTACCAGTTGTCATGATACTAGCTGGTTGCCCCTGAAGTTATTTATGGGCTTTAAATCTGTCCCAAACCATGGGAAGTGTGATGTCATCCTCCAGGAGAGCTCTTGGGTGCCGCTGATGGAAAGGAACTGGCCTTACTAGCAGTTCCCAGCCACCCTGTGTCATCCCAGGTCTCCCTGTCTACACATATCACCATGGACGGTACGTCTGCTATGCAAGGTGGCCTCTCAGAGTCCATTGGTGGCACCTTACCAGGTCCCAGGGTCCTTCTGGAGCCCCCAGACCCACTAGTGCAGCCAGCCGTTTGGGGAGCAGCCTGGGGTAAGTCATGGGTTATTCCATGTGCTGTTAACTTGTGCCTTCGGCAGGAGGGCGGGGTACTTTGTGTTTTAGGGGAGAGCTGATGTGTGAGACCACATGCGAGCTTCATTCATGAAAGGGGTTTTCAGTCCCCACATAAGTGTTGTTTCTCACATGATGCTAACTCTGAGACCCCACCATTTGTGTTAAGTGGGGGTGACGGCAGGGTGGTTCTGGGGTCATGGGGGGTGGGGTGGGGTGAGATGGTGGTTCTAGGTACACGAGAAGTAATAGCACAGTGATCTGGGGACATGGGGATGGGTGACCGCATGATAGTTCTGGGGACATGGGGCAGGTGACAGCACAGTGATTTTGGGGACATGGAGGTCATGGCACGGCAGTTCTGGGTTATGGTATGGTGGTTATAGGTACCTGGGAGGTAACAGCAGAGTGATTTGGGGGGCATGGAGGCAGGTTGATGGCATGGAGGTTCCAAGGATGTGGGGTGTGACACAGGGTATGACACGGCAGTTCTTGGGCACATGGAGGTTAATTATTCCCTCCATTCTCCCATACCTCCTTGGGCAGGAAGTGTCACTGTGCGTGATGGGCTTTAGGATAGTGGGTCTTGTGAATGATGGATCACTGGTCAGCATTGCAGTCTGACTTGTAAAATGACTCTCAGGTACAGAGGATCCCTGTGGCTGCTGCTGCTCCAATGAGGTAGGTGGTGATGAGCATGTGGTTCAAGGTCAAGGCCTCTGTGTACAGAGCTGGATGCGAATCTTGCTCTCTCTCTTAAGTGCCATGTGCCTGGGCGCAGCATGAGTCGCTTCTCTTAGCCTCCACTTGCTCCCATGTGTGACGGAAGAGTCACAGCACCTACACCATCAGGTGGTTGTGAGAGTCACAGAAACAAGGCCTGAGAGCACCAGGCACGTGACGTTTGGGAGCGGGATGGCAGTTTCATCTTCATCCATCACAGGCTTGTGTTTGGAGACACCAGACTCTGACGGACTCTTTCCACCTTTGGAGTTTTCAGGTGCAGGCTGGTACTCAGGAACTTACTCCACGGTTTAAATGTGGAGCCACAGAGGCTCCCCATCAAAACGTGACCTGAACCCAGCGAGCTTTGCTCTACGATACCACCCACCACATCGTGCCCAGTCCTAAAAGGGCACCTGGTTGCCAGTCATTGCTCTGGTTCCTCACGGTTTCCACTTCTTGTGGTAGCACCCTTGTTTTATGGTGGTTTCACTTTTGGGGCCTCCAGGTAGCCTTAGAGTAAGTAGCTGTATTAGCTGAGAACTATGTCTAAGAACCCACCTGGGATCAGCTTGACTCGAAGGGGCTTTCCTGGCTGTGAACTGTGCGCGGCCAGGCTAGTCTTGGGGCCACTGCGGGTACAGACTGGAGTCCGGGACCCTCGGCCACTGTCCTTCCCTCATGCACTGTCTTGGTCCCCTGACCAAGCTTGGAAGCTTCTCCACCATGGTTGTGTGAGGCTTTGGAAGTGAGGGGCAGGAAAGACTAAAGCTCATTCTAGCAAGTCTTCCGTGTTTTTCTCTGTGGGGAAGAAGGTGTTTTGCTACAGTAAGTGACCCATCCATAGTAATACCAGCAGGTGGAACTGAGTTTAACACGTGGGCACTAGCCGAGACTGGTTCAGCTTTGCTTTGTAGCTGACAGGTCAAGCTAGCCAGCAAGCGCATCTGAGTTCTCTAGTCAGCTTTGCCAATCCCTGTGATCCAAGGGATTCCTCCCCACGTTGGGATTTCACTCTGTGGAGGGTAAACTCATGCTTCGTGGTGACTTTGGAGTCTGTCTTCTGTCACTGTCAAGCCGCAGAGTGGGTGTGCTGCTGCCAGCCTCCGTTGGGAAGGTTGTCAGTGAGCCCTCAGTTCTTGCATTCTTCTTGTTTGTATCTTCAACAGATTCTTGTAAGATCTCTCGTGGTCTTGCCTAAGTGAAAGGGGGATATTAGTATTTGAATCCTACAGCCGTAGGGGCTACATGAGCCCAGGCTGGTGGTGTGACTTCTCCCATGTTAGCCTACTGTGGGAAGAAGAGCCCAGGGTGTTCTTTGTGACTGAGCTCAGCTGTACATGTGACGACTGCTCATGGTCATTGAGGGACACTCCTTGTCTGAGTGAGCTCATCTGTAGGATGGGATGACAGCTTATGGTTAGAAGGACACTCCTTCTCTCTGAGTGAGCTCGTCCGTAAGATGGGATGACTGCTTGAGATCGTTGAAGGAAACTGCTCCTTGTCTCCGAGTGAGCTCGTTTGTAAGTGTGGCCACTGCTCGGGGTCATGGGTGGAAACTCCTCGTGTCCCAGTGAGCTCCTGCGTAAGACGTGTTCACTGCTCGAGGTCATCGAGTGAAATGCTTTCCTGTCCTCCTTTAGCTGTGTGTTTGAATTGTGACCTGATTCTGTTGTTGAAACCTTAATGCCCAGAGCTCTTTCTTTTCCAGGTGCCAGTGGAGAAGCAGAGCCCATTCCAAGTGAAGGAGAAAGCCTGGAGGTGCCTAGCCAGGGCCACGGCTGTCAGAATGGTCCGGTGCCACCTCCCCCAGGCCCTGTGCTGCCTCTCGACCCCACACCTAACCCAGCGGGTGCTGACTCAGCTCCAGGTGTGGCTGGTATCCATGACAACATAAGGAGGTCTGAGGGCACTAGTGCTGAGGGCAGTGTTAGAGAAGCAGCTTTGCGGTCTCTCAGACTAAGTCTTCCTATGCAAGAAACGCGACTGTGTAAGCATCGCCCTTCTTCGCTCTCCAGTCTCTGCTCCTGGCGCCGTCTCACGGTCAGCCTCCGGGGGCTGTGTTGTGGAGTGGGTGTGTGTCTCACAGGGTCGCACCATTGTCAAGAATGGACGTGTGCTTGTTGCGAAGCCCCTTGTCATCATAGTCACCAAGGACAGTGCTGGCAGATGGGCTGGTTGGACAGCTGTACGCTCAAGGCTTTTTTTTTATGATTTGCTTTAACAAACACTGGCCATGTCCCCATCTCTGGGGTCTCAGAGATGAAGGGGCTGTAGCCTGGCAGCCATGAGCCTGGAAGCCTCTGGACTTTCTGCTTGCTTGTCTCTTTGCCCCGTCAGGTCAGCCTTTACAGGCCTCAGCAAACATCCCCGTGGTATTTAAAATGGGATTATTGTCTGTAGTGCTGTGATTTTCTCCCTCAGCACTGTTATGTGCATTTCCCTCCACATTCACTGTTTGAAGGCTATGTGCTGGCCCTACTCTCTGCAGCCATCCTGCTTTCTTGAGCTCTGGCCAGTGACTACGCTGCAGTGATAACACGGTGCGTGTGTCCTGAGTCCTAGCTATGCCTGCCAGGCTGGGTTCTCAGGGCGAGTGGCTGGTCAGAACCCGGTGGTGGGCACCACTGCTGCTGCCTTTGTGGCACTGGGGTGCTCTTCCCAGGCCTCCCACAGCTGCAGACATGACAGTGCCACTGTAGTTTGCACTTCTGCATCTCTAGCGACTTTGAGCAACTTTGTATCTTTGGCCATTTGGACTTCCTTGTCTGTCTGTGTCTCTGGCCCATTTTTCTTTTGGGTTGTCTTTTTCTTCACAGCAGTATTTCGGCAGGGGCGTGGTGCGGTTTACAAAATTACTGGAAACTAGTTGCCAACACTTAGGTTGAGAGATTTCATATGAAAGTCTGGAATCCTTATCTTAAATGACATGAGAGCACTAGCCTTAGCCCCATGTGGCCATGGTCTGCTCTCTATACTCATCCCTGCATAGCTGTGGTCTGTTCTCTGGTCTCGAGCCCCACATAGCTGTGGTCTGCTCTCTGGCCTCTAGCCGTGCATAACTGGTCCACTGGTATCTGCCGTCACCTTTTGACTGATGTCATCTTTCCACATAACAGCGCAGATCAACTCCTGGCGGTCATCCTGAGGCTGTCTCTCATGCTACTTGCTGCTAGCTGGTAGCATTGTTTGGTTTATATTGAGCTCACTCTCTTCACCTATGGCACCTGCCTGAGAACCACAGTCCTTAAGTGTCCCACCCTAATACTGTCTGGACTGAGGCAGCCTCTCTAGTAGTGCAGGAGAGCTTTTCAGTGACAAAATAAATTCAGAAGATAATGATGACATTGGTGGATTTCTAGGGAAATTCCTGGTGACTGTTTAGAGTTACTGAAAACAAGCACTGCTTACCTCCTAAGAACTACAGCTGAAGATGGCAGTGTAGCCGAAGTTGTGGGACTGCAACGTGGCAGGCCCATCTGCTTCTGTGTTCAGCGAATACAGCCATAACCCTGGAACTAGGGGAAGTGTACCAATAATGCCTTTACACTCAACTATTTGACTCTTCCAGAACCCCAGGTAAATGATTTGGAGAATACATACTATTAGCTCTGTTACTGCCTGAAGTGTTGAGTCACGGTTTCTCTCCTGTCACTGCGTCCCTGGGTGCATCTCCTGGACTGAATCTTGGCTGACAGAACAGCTACAGCTCTCGCAGGCCGACGTGGCCTCCACCCTGAGTCAAGTCCCACTTTGCTCCTGTGAAGCCAGGCTCTCCAGTGGCATCTTGCTTTGATAAGCAGACTAACTATACCATGACTGTTACTGCAGGAAATGAGATAAGCTGGGTATCACGTGATCCTCCAGCCTGCAGCTGCGTCAGGAAACAGTGTGTGGGGCCACTTGACCACTGGTTGGCGTTAAGTGACATTGTTTCATGGCTACGTGCTGCACGTACCTCTCAGTTCAGGTGTGAGCAGCTCTTATGACATCAGAGCGTAGTGCTGGGCTCAGTGAGGGCTGAGGGCCTGTGACACAGAGATGCCGAGCCTGGGGACAGCTGGCGTCAGGCTCCATATTCTTTTTGCTGGGAAAGAGCACACTTTAAGCATCCTGTTTTGTGAGCTGGACTCCCACAGCAGGGTGCTATGGATACTGGTACCGGGCTGCTGGGCCTCCCAACAGGAGGCCTATCTTTGTCCACGAGAGAGGCTCTGTTTCGCCTCTGACCCTGGAATTGCCCCTTTGCCCTTGAAGGCTGCACTCTGGGAGCTAAAACACATCGGTGATTAAATGTAAAGTGATGCTGGCAGCGTTGTGGCTGTGTGTTGGCACAGTTGGTGTGATGCTGGCAGCATTGATGTGGGTGTGTTGGCACAGTTGGTATGATGTGGGCAGTGTTGCAGATGTGGCTGTGTATTGGCACAGTTGGTGTGATGTGGGCAGTGTTGCAGATGTGGCTGTGTATTGGCACAGTTGGTATGATGTGGGCAGCATTGATGTGGGTGTGTTGGCAC